ATTGCCAGCTTGCTTTGTTTACTTCTGAAATTGTCAGCTTTGTGCCCCTACCTTGGGCTTTATGGCACCCAGGCTCCCCCAGTTACTGCAGTGCAACTCCAGCCCGATTCGCAAAACCAAACCAGATGGGCACATTGTTTTTCCTTATGGAGGGGAAGGCTGCTGATTGAAAGGCCCTATTACAATGCAAATACTGGGGTGGTGTGAATATTCAAAATGCTGCTGTCTTTTGAAGCTCTTTACATAAATTTATAGCGCTTTATATGGCATTGCTGCTTTGCTAATCTGGAATGGAGCTTGGTTAACAGAATCTCCTTTCTCTGCCAACTTTGGAGGGTTCGGCTGTGTTTTGGGGAGCATGGTGAGAGGTGGCATTGAGGTGTAAAGCAGCCAATGCCAAAAGATTATGGCTATGCTCAATGGGGAGGACGAACCGCCAGCTGTAAAGCTTGACTTTGGTGGTGACCCTTGATGAGTCGGGTGTGCTGTCAAGTGATTTACTGATATTTGGGTGCTTCATTGTCCTTTGGGGTTTTGTTTTTCCCCTTCTCTTTGGTTTCTTGGTGTGACCCTTTGTGGACGGGTGTTGCAGGGTGGGCTGAGCTCAGAAATCATCCTGACACAGGCAGTGGTGTGGGGGGTTTGGGGGTGTACACGGTGAATTGCTGCAGCTGCGATGGATGAGATGGTTCATTAGGGGAAGGAGATAATGAGTTAGATGAGACATCAGCTCTGGGTTTCCATCAAGGGCTTAAGGGTCTGTTTTTGGTGGCGGATGGGCATCTTGTCATAAATCCTGACATTAAAAACTGGGGTCCTAGTGTATTTTTGCCAGTTGTGTTCACATCATCCTAGTTGGCACAAGTGCAGGGAGAAAGGCAAGTTGTTTTTAACCTGCTCACGCCTGGCCTTGCTCTTCAGGATGGGGTGGATGTTACCAGATGGTTACATCTTGGGGAGTGGGTGCTCGTGTTTTGGAGGTGGCCACATGATGCTGCTCCACCAGCACTTACCCACTTATAATTGCCATCCCCTCATTTGAGTTGAGGCAATCAAGTAAGTAGGAGCAAAACAGCATTTTGCATGCTGTCCCTTGAAGGAGATTACTTGCTCCAGGCCACTGCCTTCTACAGAGTGCTGGCTGGGATGGAGGCAGGGTAGCCCGTAGCCCTGGAGAGGGGCAGTTGGTGATGCAGCCCATGGGGGCATTTGGGCAGAGCATCCCCAAAATCTCCAGCTTGTGCCATTGAGCAGCTTGCATGAATGCTGTTTGCATTAATACTGTTTTGCACCGGAAAAAATGTGCTAATTGTAGTGCTTTTACTTGATGGTGCCATAGACTGACCAGGTAATCTGTGTCTTCATTGGTCGGAAGCTAAAGCTCTGAGGCTGGTATTGATTCCAGGCACTTAATATGCCAAGTGGTAATTACTGCTTATGCCTATACTGAGTTAAATTTAGCTGCAAATTCAGTCATATCAGGCCCCCACATTGTGTGCTGTGAAGGTTATCTGGCTCTCAGGAGGGGGTGGATTTAAAGGAAGGAAGGAAAGAAATGCCGGTGAAAACTTCGTCTTCTCATCATCCCCGAGTGCTTTGCTTCTAGGGACTTGTTATAGGGAGAACAGGAATAAACAATAATGTGGTTGTGACTCCAAGTAGTTGTCTTAAACCTGCACCTTTCTGTGCTGTCTGCTCAAGCCAGTCATTTGGGGAGAGTTAACATGACACAGAGAGGCAGCTATAAATCTGAACAAAGTGATGCCCTATGTGGAGATGGGGAGCCCCCACTCAGCTGCTGCCCACCCCTATTATCCTGCTGGGGGCTGCCCTCCTGCATCTCAGCTGCTGGCCCATCTGGAGTGGAGATGAAAGGCTGGGGTTTAATTCGGGCTTTGTGTGCCTCTTGTGCTCCTCCCCTCCCTTTTTAGCCCTTTCTCTGCTGCCAGTCTCCCTTCCCCTACCCTGCAGGGCAGCTCCTGTGTGCGGGTGCAGAGGGTGGCTGTGCGCGCCGGGGCTCTGATGCCGCTGACCTCATTATTTTGACTGCTGGGTGATGCCAGGCAGCCTGTGAGATCATCAGGTAGGAGGGTTGGGCTTTTTTTTTTTACCACCCCCCACCCCCCCCAAGCGCTGCTGAATAATTCAGCTGGGAGTAGGCATCTTGGGTCACCTTGTGCAGCCGGCTGCCTGCTGGAGCTGGCTTCCTAAGATGGAGGTTGTGCAGGATGCATGCGGGATCGCCTCGCTGCCAGCAGCTTGCCATTGTTGACTGACTGCAGGTAGGCGAAGAGCGTTGTCATTCTTTATTTCTGATGCTTTTTATGTTGAAGGTATGAAATCCCCTCCCTGGGCTGCGCAAGGGTGGCTGGGTCTCGCTGAGCTTGTGAGGAGCTCTGACCATCCCTCGCCATGGGGATATGTGAGGCTGGCGGGGCCAAAAACCTCACCAGGGCTGCAGGGCAGGTTTGCCTCAGGCAGGGACCATGCGCTCAATGCTCTTCTCTTTTGGGGATTGTATTCTTTTATGGGGTCCCTCAGCCTGGACTCATCTGGGGTAGGTTTTGGGGGCTGCTTGCTGGTATGGCTCTGAGACAGGGTGATCCCAATGTTCCAGCAGCGTGGGTGCTCAGGGACGTGTTGGGAGGCGGCATTTAGGCTCTTTGTGCTGTCTGACTGGGGGAACTGGTTCTGGTGGTGTGGAAGTAGGGTCGGGTGCTGGAGAGGTCTCTGAGGGGGCAGGAGGTGGCTGACCCTGAAGATAAGAATCTCAGAAATGCCTGGGAAGCTCCATGGGTAGGTGTCGCCTTTGCTGCAGGCTCAGCTTTGAGCTTTGGATCGGGCAGGGCTCTCCCTATGCTGGTACTCAGTTACAGCCACCATGGAGCACCATGTGTGCTGAGCCATAGGTGTGGGTGGGAAATGGGGTTGCTGGCTTGAGAACAGAAAGTAGTTTGTTGCCTTCTTTCTGGTTGAAAGCACTTGAGTTTTTGGGTGCCGCCAACTCCTCTGTGCCCTGAGCTGAATGCAAATGCATCTGTACCTTCACCTCTCCCTGCAGTGCTTGGATGCTTTGCTAAGCAAGAGGCATTTGGAGGGGATTAGAAACCAAGGGACACCAAGGGTTTGAGGCTCAGATTGGGTGATGTGGGGATGGGCGTGGGATTGTGTCCACTCTCTTGAGAGGTCTGGCAATGCTGCTATCCTTGCTCATGCTGGCACAGGAGGAAGGACAGCCAGGCTGGGCTACTTCTGTCTTGTGGACCCCGAGTGCTGCTTGGCACCAGCCCTGCATCCCTCAGCAGGCATGGGAGTCTGGTGCTGCTCTGCACTGTCATGTACTCCTGTGGCCAGCAAAATCAAGGACACAGCTGCTGCAGTGCTGCCCTGGATGTTTCCCAGTTATCCAGCCACATTGGACAGGCTTTTTTAATTGCCTCTCTGCCATGGGGCGCTTATGCGAGCTGATGTGATGGCTCATGATGTTCTAGAAGATCAGAGTGTTCCTCAAGGCTGCAGTAGTGGGCAGGGGGTGAAATCAGGCTTACCTTGCAGTTAGGGCAGCTTTGCTTGTTCTGGGATGTCTGTGAGCACTGCCAGTGACACAGGCAGCTTGAGGCACTCTGTGATGCCAAGAGGGATGATGGGAGGTGGCTGCTCCATAGCAGGGCTGGACATTGAGGAGGTTTGTGTAGGAACCCCTTTTTGGGAAATGTGGATGAGATGACCTGCAGCAGCGTTGGCAAAACAAAGCTCACGCGGAGATTTGGCTGTCTCTTGTGCAATGGTCTGAGGCTGGCTGAGCATCCCAGGATACCCAGTTGTGTCCTGGGGGCACTGGGTCCCTTCAGTGTCTGTTGCCACTGGTGTGCCCTGTCAACGATGGCTGCAGTGCCTGTGCATGTCTGCTGCGGTGGCTGTGCATGCCAGGGCTGTGTCATGGCACTGGGTTACACTGCTGCTGCATTAAGCCAGTGGGGAGCCCGGCAGCCAGGCTGGGTAATGGGATGCCAGCTGAATCCTTCATTTCGGACAGGAAATTTCCCTCCCTGTTCCCTGCCAGGACAGTTCCTGGGGCTGTGATGCTCTGGTTAGCAATGGGATGAGAGAGATGAGAAATAGTTGACTTGGAGGGGAAGGTGAAGCTCTTGGAAGTGGTAAGGAAACCACCTTGGCTTTGTTTGCTGGTGCAGGAGACAAGATATGTTTCAGCTGCCTCCATGCTGGGATCAGCTCTGCTCTGAGGCTGGGTTTGCTGCCATCCTAGCAGTGTCCCCTGCCAAACAGTTCTCTGCCTTCAGACAGGGTTCGACCTGAGGTACTTGAAGGAGAGCAGTGCCATGGGACTGGGCAGTGATGCAGCGGGGACACGCTGGGGTTGTAGAAGAAAGCAGAGATCCTGCACACTGGCATCAGTGGGGCTGACAGTGTGTTGGGACTCCCTGAACTCAGGCCAGCATGAAAATGAGCATATTTGGCACAGGGAGGTGTTTTGTGTTCATGGAGGGAGGTGTATATGGCTGGCTTGAAGGGTTGGGTTTGGGGCAGAGGCAGTGATTGGGATCTCCTGCCCTCCCCTCTGCAGGTAGAGCCCAATGCTTTCCTCCCTGCCACTGGTGAGCTGCTGCTGCTGCTGGGATCATTGTTTATCTTCTCGCTACGGCGAGCAAAGCATCGCCTGCAACACCTGGGAACCAGAAGGGCACAAGGGAGCAATTTTCCCCTGCAGCTCCTCAGCTGCTCCAGCTGAGACACTAATGGAGACAGTTTTGGGTGGCTCTGCAGGCTTGTCCCCTTGGTCTTTCTGCTGTGCAACTCCTGCCTTCACCTAGTGGGATGGAAGAGGTTGGAGCATGGTAGGGCACCAGGTTCACTCACCGTGAACAGCCTCCAGGGCTGCCCCCATACCAGCCATTGGAGTTTTAGACTGTGCTGTAGGTGCTGTGATTGATGTTAACTGGTCCCATCTCTCCCTGCAGGTGAGTGTGGCAGGCTATGGGATGGATGAAGCTGAGCAGGACCAGTATGAAGCTCGCCTCAAGGAGCTCTTTGACAGCTTCGACAGCACAGGCACGGGGTCCCTGGGGCAGGAGGAGCTCACTGACCTCTGCCATGTGCTGCACCTGGAGGAGGTAGCCCCGGCACTGCAACAGACCCTCCTGCAGGACAACCTCCTAGGCAGGGTAAGTCTGGGGTGATGGTGGGGGACAATGGGGGGATCTGGGGCCTGGGAGCAAGGCCCTGTGTGCATGGGAGGGTGATGGAAAGAGGCCGAATGTCTGTAATCTCTGAATATCCAGCAGGCTCTGGGGCTGCAGGACTGGCAGTGTCTGTTGGTCTGCTCAGCAGGGTGGGCACAGGGCAGCTTCTGAGAGGGGAATTAGTGATAACAAGGAAGGAAACTGCTCATTATGTGTCTTCCCTGACTGGAGGTAGTCTGAAACTCCCAGAAACAACCACTGTATGTTTAACCTTGTACGCCAGCGTTGCGCTGATGCCGTGTGTTGTTTCAGTGTCCAAGGTTAAACAGAGTGCTGGGTCCCTGCTGCCCTCACACTGATGCTGGTACTCAGCCCAGCACACGCTGGTTCACACTGCATATGTGCCCCCAGCACTGGTTAGTGCTGCTTCTGGTCTGGGTCATCTCCCCAAACCAGCTCACCGGGTGCTTGCTCAAACTGTAGTGCTGGGGAGGTACAGCCAGGGCTTGAGCCTGTGATTTACCTTGACTTAAAGCTGTACTTAAACTGGTGGAGCCACATGCAATTATACACATTTCTCTAAAGAAGAGACTGTTGTCCAACACTGGCAGTCACTGGCTGAGCCGCCTTTGTCCACATTACCTGGTTTTGGGGACTGATGGCTCCTTCTTCTGTTATGCTGCAGCATCCCACCAGTTTGTGGAGGGGAGCTGTGGCCAGTGAGCACACCATGCTTTCCAAAGTGACTTTTTCAGTTCTGTTTATACCTCTATAGAGTTAACTGCCAGGTTGTTGAGATGAAGCTCAACAACCTAGCTTGCCCTTGGGAGGACCTCCATGTTCAGCATGGATGTCCTTGTGTTTGTGCATTATCTCTTTCCTGACATACTGTGCTCAGAGTGTGTTGGATGCTTCCCTCAAAATCACCCTGAAATCCCATCACTGCTTATTAATATCAGAAAATGCAGAGCAGGGCAGATAGGGCTTTCAATAGACATGAGCTAAGCAGCCATCCCAACTCCAGTTTCCTATCAATCTGCAGCTTTCACAAACCAACTCCTTTAATGAACAAAGCCTCCTCTTCCTTGCCTGCCCTGGGGCAGTAGCTCTTCTGCTGACAGTGAGCAGTGCTGGAGCATGGATGGATCCAGACAGAGGTTTCTCACCTTTGGAGTTGCAGTGTGGCATTTGCTCGTGCACTGGAGGCTTCCTGTGCTGCTCAGACATAGTGAGCTTCTGCTGCTTGGATGCTGTTCTCTGGCTTTGCTGCTTGCAGGATAGTGGGTTAGAGGGGGAAGGAAGAGCAGTATGAAAGATATGGTTGTCATGGCTGATCAGGGCTAAAGCAATGGTACTTATCCCTGTGGTGGAAAGCAAAGTTAAATGCTGTAAATGCTCAGTCCAACGGCACCAAAAAGCCCCTGCTAAAGCATCCCAGGTGCTGGGTCATGCTTGCCCAGTCCCAGCCAGGAGCTTCATCCCTGTGAGGTGTCCCATAGCACAAGACATCCTGAGGAGCACTTTTATTTCATTCCCCCGCTTTGTCTTGGGGGAATGGTTCTCGTTTACAACCTGTGACTTGAATCATGCCAGAAAAATCCATCTCCTGTGCTTCCTCCCGTCTCCCTGGCATTTGTGCTTGTTAGCAGCAGCAATGGCCCATGTCTAAGCGTGAGCCTGATTTAATAGCTATCGAATCCTCTGGGTTTCCTAGGGAGCTCGTCAGGAGAATAGCAGCAAACATGTTGCTCCCTGAGTGTAGTCTCCTTGCACCTGCCCTGCCAGTTCCTTGCTGCAGATGGTCCCTGTGTGCAGTGGGAGCAGCCTTTGTTTGCCTGCACTTCCAGAGCCCGGGTTTTACGGGAGGGCACCAGGGAGGGGGGTGGCGGAGGGACTGTTTTGTCTGCTGAGGAGCAACTTGGTGGGGCCACGTGCTTGCTTTTGTGCTGGGGGCTCTGCTCTGGGGATGAATGTGCTGTGGTGGAGCTGCTCAGTTGGACCGGGAGCCGTGCCAGCATCCCGGCGAGGGGCTGGACACGCTGCATCCCCAGCACGCTCTGTGCGATGCTGTGGGGATTAATGGGTACACGCTATCTCTGAGCTCCAGCGGCGGCTGTGCGGATCCTGCCCTGACTCGCAGCAGAGCCAAACCATCCTAGAACCGTGAGATTGTGTGCGGAGGCGATGCTCACAGCAATTCCTAGGATTCCTTGGGAAGGCTGTTTCCTCTGGCCTCTCACACTTGACTGCAGGACTGAGGGGATATGTACAGGCATGTCCTTCTTGTCTGGCCTCCAAGAGGCTTTGCCCATTAATTAGCAGCTAATGCAGAGTGGTGTCTTGGGGACAGTGCTCATGGGCTGCAGGATGACTGTGGTTATGTGATTTGCAGGGATGGGGGTAAGTCGGGCACTTCCGGACCCTGCACAAGGACTGTCCTCAAGCAGGGTCGGGGAGTTCAGGTTTTACCCTGCCCCAGTCCTGTTGCATTAGCCAGCCTGCAGCAAGGACACTGTGGCATGGGGTTTTGCTTTGCTTGTCAGCTCCTTCCAATGCTTTGGCTGGTGACCTCTTGCAAATATACTCCAAGCCAGCTGTGGTGCTGCTCCCCTTAATGTGCTGCATCTTTTTGCATGCCAGGCAGGAGACTTGGTTGCGAGATTGCCCTGTTCCTGTGTCTTCCCCACCTGACATTTCCCTCTGCAACCTTCTGGTTGCTGCTGTTAGAAGGGGTTTGCAAGGAGGGACAGGGCTTTGGGAAAAGGCCTTTGCTTGAAGATCAAGGAGAGGGAGCTTGAAGAAGACACCGATGCTGGTTTGCTCTAGTCTGGGGTTGCGGACTGCTGCTTTGCATTGCAGGGACAAATAGTGAGAAGCAGCAGGTAGCTTGGCACATGCATGCTCTCTTTCTAGTGCTAATAAGTCACAGCTTCATAGGCAACTTGCTTTAAAGCTGGAATCGAGATTTCTCAAAGGTGCTGGGGTTGCTCAGCAGCTGGCAGCTTGGTTGGTCTCTGATTACTGTGAGGAAGCTGGGCTGGGCTTGCTATGCCTGTGTTGGCCTATTAGTCATGTTTGCCTCCGATTTACTTGTTCTGGGGAAAATTCTCCTCTCTGGGGGCTTAACATGCCTGCAGCACTGTTCAGAACCCTGGTCTCACTGTGAGGTTTGCCAGGATGTGTGTCCTGTGAGTTGGCACAAACATGTTCCATGTCATTGCCTCCTGAACACTGCTGTGTTCAGGCTGTTTTGGATCAGCCCTGCTGTTCAAGGCCCCTGTGAACAGATGCACAAGTTGGAAGTTTTAAAATACCCTAGATCTAGTCCAGCATATTGAAAATAGCATTAAACTTCAGACACTGCAACCATGTTTTGCTGGTATATGCTTTGTGTCTTGTGTTTGTAAAGCTTTTAGGTTTGCTTGAGTGTCTGAAGCGGTTTTCCGTAAGTGGATGGTGCTTTGTGCAACACTGCTGCAGTTAGTGCTCTCCTCCCAGGGCTGCTATGCCTGTCCTTTGCTGGGAATATTCTCTAAGCAAAACCCAAAGGTTGTTGCTGTGGACTTGTGCCTGCCTACATGGGCTGTCACGTCCCTGGAAATGCCCCTTGCACTTGCAGGTAGCCCATACTCTCTCTGGCATGGGCTCTCCTGGCAGGAGTGTGACTCTCTGTGCCAGCACAGGAGTGCTGGAGGTGTGCTGACACCAAGCACACACATGTGGGGTGCTTTGTGGTGTGGGCATCACCTATTCTGTATCTCCCCAGGATGCACGTCCTCCTTGGGTGCACGCTGGTGTTTAAGTTGGATGGGGATATAGAGCGAAAACATTGCTGGAGAGCAGTGGCAAAGGTTTTCTTTAAAATATGAAGCTTTCTTTAAAATAGGAGACACTGGTGTTTGTGGCTTTGCTGTCAGGCAGGCTGCCTTGCTCTTGAGCACAGCTCTGATTTCAACAGTTGTATTTCTCTAAGTGCTCTGTGTACACACATGCAGCATCTGACCTCAAACGTGCACCACAGACAGATACTGTTTTTCCTGGTTATCTCATGTTGGGATGGGTCAGAAACTTTCCTAAAGAAAAATACCCTCCCTCTGCTATCTTGGGCTGTATCTCCAGAGTTGGGTGCTGCTGCTCCGAAGGTGGTGTGGGACCCTCTGAGCCTGTGCAGGCGCCTGCTGTGGGGTCTCTGCTGCTAATTTGCATTTTCAATCCTGCTGTGTAGCTGACCAAGGCACTGGCATGGGGGGGCTGGAGGTTGGCCACCTCCTGCCCCGCAGCCTAATCTTCCACGGGCTCCTTTGGACATTGTGGTCATGGTAAAATCGCTCCATGGCCTCGATGCCGGAGCCATCTGTCCTGCATGCAGCTGTGGCAGCGAGGGCTCAGCCCCCCTTCTGCCTTCCTTCCCTTCATTAGTGCTTCTTGGCAAACATGAGTTACAGGGCTTGTTAAGCAGGGCAGGTTACATGTCAGTGGTGCTCTCTGCACCTGCACAGGTGGTTGTACACATGGACTGTGTCTGCATGAGTGATGCAAAGTGATTCTTACTTTATGTTCTTACTACCACGAGGTCCCATCCAAACCCAGCCCAGCACCTCTCTGAGGACCAGCTCTACCTATCCCCGTGGCCATTGTCACTGTTCCCTTCCCAAGAAGATCCCAGCGGAGGGGACCTGTTGTTTGAACACTCTCATCTTTTATTCATGCTCATTTAGTCTAAATGTCAAGTTTTTTTAATCGGGCAAATTCTCCTATCTCTGTAAACTGTCCTTTTGAAGTACACCTGTGTCTGGAAACAAATGGCAGCAATTAGTATTCAGATGAAGGCATCCTTGACAAGTTTCTTTGCTGAACATATTTCTAACTGTTTATTTACTTGGGGAGTGTGTATTTTGAACCACAGAGATGATTTGTACTGCATGAGCTGCAATGTGAGGTGGTCCACTGCACGGGGGGCCCATGGCTGAGCCCCCAGCTCCACTGTCATCCCCTGTCTGCCAGGGAGCATGATGTTCTTTTTTTGGGCTGGCTCAACCCCAAGAGCAAGCTGGTGAACTTCAGACCTGGACTTTGATTTGCTTCTAATGCTGCTCCCCCACAGCATTAGAATTCTCTGTGCTCCTCATGCTGGATTTGTAGCAACAGCTTTGCCAGCAAGGGCAACCTTGGTGGGTTCTTTAAATGAAGTCTCTTGTTCAATGTAAAAATTCTCTCCAAGATTTATTTAGCCAGAAGAAGTCATAGCAGCCAGCTTTGTCTCGCCACTGACCCATGTCAAATAGCTTCCCCAGCTGTCCCTGGGTTTCTGTCCCCCACGGCTGGAATTGCTGACATTCCCCAGCGCAGCTGTGAAGGATGCTGTAGCCCCATTGCAACTGCTCATGGTGATGAGGCAGGAGGCTTTCTAGGAAGACACAGATGGAAAAGGAGAGGGGGGAAAAACCCCAGTGGTAGAATCATCCCTCCTTGTTTTTCCCGTAGCCATGTTCCACAATGTGGTATTTCCATTCCAGCCCTTTTGGAGCTGCAGCAGGCAGGAGTGCCACGTTAGGGCTGCCCTGGAAAAGACACTGTTTTCTGCCATCCACTTTAAAAAAGTGGTTTCTGAAGCTTAATTAGGGCAGTGGAGCATTTCCACAGCTGGATATCTCATCCCTGGTCAGGACTCGTATCTCACTGTAGGAGCCACTGGCCCTGGCCAGTTCTTCCCAAGCAATGGAGATGCTCCCTGGTCCTGGGGATGTGTTATTTCATTGTCTTGCTTGTAAGAAAAACCCAACCAATGCATTAAAGCAGTGGCTTTGAGTCGTTCTGTGATAGCAATCATTTTTTTCCACACACTCAGAGATGTTGGTTGTGTCTCCATGTGTCATTTCCCAAGGCCCAAGTCTGAGGTTCAATCTTGTCCCGTGCTGAGGCAGTTGGCAGACTCAGGCATGCTCTTGTTTCAGTGTGGTGGTCTGAGTGCTTTGCATTGCTGCCTATCTTCCTGACGGATTATTAGCATGATATTTAATTTTCTGCACCAGTTGATTTCTTCCTTTCTTCCTTTTTTCCCCACAGGTCCACTTTGATCAATTTAAAGAAGCACTTATCCTCATCTTATCCAGAACCCTGTCGAATGAAGAGCACTTCCAAGAACCAGGTAAATACTGAATTATCTAAACCACAACATTTTCCTTTGGCAAAGCAGACATGGGTGGCTGTTACAGAGGAACTTAAAAGAGAAAATGCTTTTCAGGTGCTGAGATAGGCTCTTCTGCTTGGATGCCCAGACCCAGGGAGAATGGAGAGTTAAGGTCTGTTTGTGGAGCCTTGTACAGAAGCATTTTCTGAGCTATTAGATATTTATATCCCATTAGCACGATCTGAATGCCTGGAGAGGCACGTGATGTCTGTGTGCAGACCCCTAATGGCACTTCAGATGCTCAAGACATCCCAAGGCTGCTAAATGTGCTGAAGTCTCTCTATCTCATAATGCTTCCGGTGGCCGGGGATGCTTTGGGTGCTCTCCAGCTGCAGCAGATAGGGGCAGGCAATCAAATGGCCACTTTATTGCTGTGGCTGCTTTGTTCCCAGCCAGGGCTGGCACATCCCCTGCCCCCTCCACTTGAGTGTTTCAGCTCTGAGGTGGTGTGATGCAGGCACAGAAGCTTCAGCTCAGCAGAAGGGCTGAGCCAGTGGTAGCTGCTGTGTTCTTGCCATGCCTCTGAGGGGCTGGTGATGGGATCTGTCTTGGGGGACAGCAGTATCTTACAGGAAACCTCTGCTGGCTTTGGGTGCTGCTCTTTGTTGTGAAGATTGTAAGGGGAAACTCTACAAGACCTCCTCCTAGAGATGGGCTGCTCAACACAGAAATACCCCTCCTGTCTAGGACTGATTTGCATTATTTTTCTTTAAAGTCCATGCCATTTCCTTGTGTCTGAGATGAGCAGGGTGAGCTCAGACCTGTAGGAAGCTACTCTGAGGTGACTGTTTCTCCCAGGGGTCTGAACAAGGTGAGCCCTCTGACAAACCAAGTTGGGGCTGGTTGGAGAAACAGTGGGTGCTGCTATTCCTTGGTGTCCTGGTTTCATCTTGCTTTGTTTCAGCATGCCTTGAAAATGTGGCTTTTTAGACTCTCAGCAGGAAAAAAGCTTTGCGGTGCCCCCCCCCCTTCTCTGTGCATGTGGGCTGGTGGTGCTAGGAGCACTGGGGAGCTGTGGGGTGAGGGCTGACCCCTGTGGCTCCAGCTGGAGCTGGGGGGCTGCAGTCTGCCTGCTGTCACAACTGTATGTAAATCCCTAATCCTGCCTTCAGAGCAGCAGGGCTGTGAAATCCCTGAAGGAGAAAACAGCTTAGCAAGGGGGAGAGGGGAAACTCCAGGTTTCCTCTCCTGGAGCATCAATCTCAGCTGGAGCATCCTCCACTCGAGAGCACAGCCTCTCAGCAAAATTACAGCTCTCCCCTTTAAACAGGCTGCAAAAAATTCAGGGCCCAAGAGATGCAACTGATGGATTACTTTTATTTTCAATCTCTCATTTCCAAAGCTCTTAATGCTTAGAGGGAGGGGGGCGATGACAGCACTTGTACCCAGCATCCCTTAATGCAGTTTCCCAGCACAGGTCAGTGGATGCTCAGGAGTGTGGGAGGAGCCTCACCAGTGCCTGGCGAGGGGTCAGGTCTGCTGTGGTCTCTTCCATGCCCTTAGAGAGGAGCTGGCACAGAGCAGGAGGCAGCCCCAGCACCCAGTGAACCAGAACTAATCCAGTGCTCTGCATTTATTGGGGAATCATGTGGCTGAGAAGCTCTGGCTTGATTTAAATATAAATAATTCTTCTAGAAAGGGCTAAATTTGGGGTTATTGCAGGGGAAATTACAAATGCAGCTGGCAAGAGGCTGTGTTGGAGCTGGAGAGCCCTCCTTGGGGACACGTTTGTCAGCTGGGTCTTGCATGGCAGGTAATCAAAGGGCATGCAGTGCAGGTAGGGAGCCTGCACCAGGCAGGCCTGGGAGGCATTTATTTTTAATGCGTTTTGACAGGTCGGTTAACGCCAAAGTCTTTGCTGCTTTTAATTTAGATCAAACTCGAGATTTGGAGAACAAGCTGCTTTGTGCTGTTGGTGTCAAACTGTCAGTGACTGTGGAAATGCTGGTGTTACAGCCCGCCCCGGGCTTGGGAAAAATTGAGTTAAGAGCTCCAAATCATATCATTTAAACGAAAATTTAATCTGGGGGAGGGGAGGAGAAAGGCACAGAGATCTTAAAGCTGTTTGCTGCATCTGCAGAGTTTGCTCTGCAAGGAAGTGGCTGTGTACCTTGATGATGTGGTTTTACTCAGGGACTTGGGTGATCGAAAGATCCCCTGGGAACAGTTGGAGGGCTTGTGTCTTTGCTCTTCGTACCAGCTGCCTGCAGCTCCCAAACAGCCTGTGGACATGGGCAAGGGGCCCTGACAGAGGAAAACATCCTTGTCCCCATGGGTGCAGTGCAGCTTGCTCAGGGAGGATGGCTTGGCACAAGGAACTTCTGCATGATGGGGCAGCCCCTGGGGTCACAGTGGGACCCATATGCTGGGGACAAGGAACCAAAACTGACATGGGTTGCAAAAACGGTTCTTGCAGAAGTGGCTGATGGGGCTTTTCTTGTTCTGGGGGGTTGGGAAAGCAGCAGGTGGGAAAAGCACTCAGGCTTGCAGAGAGCAGCTGATGTATTTGTTTTGGGGTGTTTTTATTCTTGACAAAGAAGCTAAACTCCCTTTCTGAAGAGAAGGATGGCAGTGAGGATGGTCCTGATGTGCTGTGGGCACTTTGCCTGGGAAGCAGCCCTGAAAACCAAGGCAGGCAGAGTTCCCGGCACTGCTGTCATCAGTTCCATCCCCTCGAGGATGCTGGTGTGGGGACAGACCCAGCTGCAAACCTAAGCATCAGTCAGCCGGGCAAACCCCAGCTCTGCTGGGAAGTGGCGTGGCTGGGCAGAGGAATAGGGGAAGTGCCGGGAAAAGCAGAAAAAAGCCTGAATGTGTGTTAAAACAGTGCTTGCTTTAGTGTTTGTTTTGGTTTCTGCAAGCAGGAGTGTGACTGCCAGGGAGACCTGTCACTCCCAGCAGCACCTCGGGCCTTTGCAGAGGTAGCCTGGATTACTGGGGTTAGATGTTCTGGAGAGATGCTGCTGCAGGGCCAGGGCTGAGCCTGCTCCTGCTGGGAGACCTGGGCTGGGGGCTGCTGCTGCTCTTTGTCCATGGGCCACTGTAGCGGGGGGGGGGGGGGGGGAATAGAATCATAGAATGGTTTAGGTTGGAAAGGACCTTAAGATCATTTAGTTCCAACCCCCTGCCATGAGCAGGGACACCTCACACTAAACTGTCGCCCAAGGCTCTGTCCAACCTGGCCTTGAATACTGCCAGGGATGGAGCATTTAAGATTAAGGGGGTGGAAAGAAAAAAAAATCAGTTATGTGGGTGATGGGGAGGGAAATCGGGCTTTATTTCTTCCTCATTTTGGTGAATAAAAAGTCAACTCTGTGTGTTGTGGAAGCCTGGATAGAGAGGGATTACCAGGGTGGAGCGCAGGATTACAGGAACACCCAGGACAAATTAAAGAGCAGCTTGATGCTATCCTTGCTGCAGTCATGAGGGGCTGTTGGGTTGTTGTCTTCCCAGCACATGGAGACAACAGAACTGCCCTCCAGAAGAGTACCTGGTGGGGATGATGCTGTTGCAGGAAACCCATCCATGGGCAAAAGGTTGCTCATGTGGCTGCAAAGGTCTGGCTTCTGCTCCACAAACAGACCTGGATGGGGACAGGTATAAAACCAGCATCACTGTCCAAACAGGGGTGACCTAGGCACAGGCAATGCCTCTGGGCAAAAATACATTTATGTGGGTTGTGGTGACCCAGCCACTGCTCCTGTCTGCCTCAGTTGCTGAGCCCAAAGTGTGAAATAGGTTCTAGGAGGAGTTCAGACAGTACCTGGTGTCTTGGAGGATTAGGATTTAGCAGATCCTAGCTGTGATGCGCTTTGCCCACTGGAAGGCTGTCTGCTGCTGTGAGGAGGATCCCTCCCTTCCAGATCTTAAGCAGTAAAGAAATTAATTTTGTCTCTAAATGGGCTTGTGGGGCGAGGGTCTTCCTTCTCTAAACCCCCTTTTGTCTGCATTCAGTAGCTTTGATGCTGGGCCCAGGAAAATGCTTCTCACCATCAAGGGGAGCCCCCCCTCTCCTCCCCAAGTGTGTGAGGGCAGAGCAGGATTTTGAAAATACTTATCTAGCACAGAAAGGCAGAAAATTGAGTGTACATCTCTAACCATGGAGACATTTAACTGCTGAGTTGGATGGGGGGAGCAAGCCAGGAAATTGATGGCTTTTGTCTGCAGCGCTTAAATCGGCAGAGTCCTTGTGAAATGCTTTTGGTTTGGTTTTTCAGGAGACATGTAGGGACCACAAACCCCCTGGGCAGCAGGTCAGGAAGGTGAGAGGCTTGGTCTCTCAGCAGCTCCTGCTCTTCCCCCCACCCCGGGGGCAGTTCAGAGGGGCAGATCAGACCCCAGTGTCTAATTAGCTCTGGAGTGTGTTTTACTAAGCCCATGTATTGCCTAAGGCTGTAGGAAGCAGGGAGCATTCATCCTATTATTTTTTTCTCATTTTTCCCCCTTTCTCAGTGGCTTCTCAGCTACACAGTAGTGAGGGTCTTGGAGGAGCAGCATCTCTCCTTGCTGCTGGTTGCAGAAGGGGGGTACCAGAGGTCAGGCTTGAGGAAGAGCAGCCTTCCCTTGTGTTCAATACTGGGGTATATTTTACAGTGTTTGGGATAAATAGCAGACAGGGCTGTCTCATGGGCATCTGCCTCACTGAAAGCTTTGATTTTTGATATCTCCCTTCTGTTTGTGTGCCTTTGAAAGAACGTGTGGATTGAGCAGCTCTTTCCTTCCTTCCTCTTTTGGCTGGAAATGAGAAACTCTGTTCAGCTCATTGGTGAACTTTCTGCTTTTGGGGAACATGGGTTGCTGCTTTTTGCTGGCATGTGTGCTCAGCTTTCCCTAAACACTGGGAATGGCAGGGATAACAAGGGCAACAGCT